AAGGCCCCATCATCTTTGGGGTGAGTTAAAATCTGTACCCTCTGAACCTGTGTTCCATGCCCTTTCCCTGCTAAGAATGTTTCTTTTTATGGTCAAGACTATAGACTGTGAGGGATGGAGAGAAATATACCAAGGGGTGAAGGAAGCCTGGGGACCGGAGGTGTGAGGAGTGAGGATCCCACCTTAGGGATTGCTACTGATTCTCCCTGGGACTTATATGTTAAACCTGAGGGTCAGATAGTCTTCTTTTACCATCTACCCCATTGTCTGCCTGATTAAGGAGCATGTGTTTTAATGTATACCTTTCATACACCTTTCTATTTCTGTAAGGACAGACCTCATTACACCAGAATCAACATTTTTATATTGACAGAATCATAGTGTGAGGTGATGAAAAGTCTGACGTCTTTTATTCACAAAATTGAAAAAATGATTTGCAACTTACTGATTTTCTGTGAAAATTAAGTGAAGAATAGCAGAACATTGGACACATTGTAGAGTTTCACAAATGCCAAATCTCTTTTCTCCTCCTCCCCTTTCTTCTTTGGTAACCTCTGCTGGTTGTGATATAGAAGTCTATGTCTGGTATCAACTAGTGCCTTTGTGAAGAACAAGTGAATTAGAGTTCATTTTCTTCTCAAAGGGTCACATGGGTCAGGCCATTTTGCGTGATCTTATTTCCATCAAGCAAATCAACAGAGATCGAAATGTCAATTTCTGCATAAACCTGTATTAAGTGGAAATAGAGGTCATATATTTATACCCCAAATGTGCAAGAAAATGTCATTTACTTATTTCTATAAAGATTCTAACCTTGTTCCCCAGACTCCACCCTGTTGGAGGCAACAGCTCTCCCAGTGCAGACATTTCAGGGTCCTATGACTTTTATAGGTTTTGCTTTGCCCCACGAGCTTCATTTCTTCTTCCTAAAAGGGAGTATGAAGGTTGGAAGAGATCATGTGGCTCTGAGTCAGTGGGGTAGGGGTCCCTTCACTCTCCTCTTAGTTGCATCAGACCATCACTGTGTGGGGACTAGCCGGAGCTGGCCCTTAAGATGCTTGGCTTGGGGTCTGCTGAGGACTGGCAGGTCCTGTGCTGCTATTTGGGCTCTGTTGCTCCCCCCATACTGGTAACCCCATCTCAGGATCTCAATCATGTCTGTAATGTTCCCTTTGCCACAACACATTCACACATTCAGGAGTTTAGAACGTGGGCATCTTTGGGAGCCTAGCACATTGAGTTTCTCCTGGAAGCTTCCAACCTTTCTGGGCAGTTATCGGGGGCAGCAGATGACTAGATCCAATATTTTGGGTTCTCCTTTCTGTATAGGGTTGTTTTTGCTTCACTAGCCTGTGAAAAGGTGAAGAGAATTCGTTAGTGTCTTTTCCTCTCACTGAATATATGTGTTTCTCACTGAACATCTCTCCTTCTTTCTTGAAACTTCTCTGTTGCCTCCAAGCTGGGTAAGACCTCCCTGATGCTCTGTCCTGGATTGTTTGTACACAAGGCTTGTAGTCATCCTTTGATTCAGTTCAGCCAAGTTGTATTCTGTCTACCGATGTCTTGGAGGTAACCTGCACATTCAGCTCAGTTCTTGATCATTAAATGGAAGCCTTGGAAATTTTGATCTCCCCAATTCTTTCTCAAGAAAACCTAGCTTTCAGGATAGATGTATGACTCGGGCCTTGAGAAAGCATTAGTTCATAGTAAAATCTGGGCAATGATGTTTATGTTCAAATTGACATGAAGCCTCTCAGTCCCTTGGTATTAAGGTTTGTGGCTTAGCCTTCATGAGAGGCTGCAGCATGATGGTTCTGTGTGTGTGTATGTGTGTGTGTGAAAAGCAATAAATGCATCAGTTGAATGTTTCCAAGGCATTTCTCCCTATAAATCTCTCATCAGTGTGTTTCAGTAGATTAGATACCGACCCTATTGTGTATAGTCTCTGAAACTCCCTGAAAGGAAACCCGTGGTTCTCTTGTAGATTGGCGGAAGGAGAAGTTCCAGGCCTGTGAGTGACTGCGTGTCCTTTCTGAGTATTCCTACTGCTGTCCTGGGTCCTCCCCTTCAGTTGTCTGTGGTGATACAAATGCCAGCGTCATCGGTGCTGGTGGGATGGGATGTGGCCGTGATAGTCACATAGTTGGGGCTGGTGGGTGTGGCTGACTTTGGATGCTAGGTAGAGATGCTTCAGTCCTTGGAGTCCAGGCTGGTCCTCAAGGGCCCTGGGACATACCTAACCCCCAAATCAGCCTTGTGGTTCGTTCTCCTGCCTGGAGGGCCATGGGCTTGATTCACAAGTTTCTAATCTCAGGCAGCTTAGCCTTCCCCTGACGCAGCTGGGAGTCCAAGCTGGGGGGTGTTTGGGAGATCTTGTTATGGGGCAGGGGAAGGCCCTGTATGACAGGCAACTTTCTCTGCAGGTCCTGTCACTCTGGATCCAGGATCTGCCCATTCAGACCTTGTCATCTCTCATGAAAAGAAAACTGTGGCGTTGAAGGACTTCAATAATGCCTCATCAGACACCTGCAGCGTACTGGGCTTTGACGGCATCACAGCCGGGCGCTGGTACTGGGAGGTGGAGGTCATGGATGGAGACAGAAGCGCGTGGGTTCTAGGGGTCTGTAGGGAAGGTGTGAACAGGAAAGGTTGGTACGTAGAATCACCAGATAGGGGGTTCTGGGTTTTGGGTCGATTTGAAAGTGGATACTGTGCCCGTACTAACCCTAAAACTGATCTCTTCTGTAGGCAGTTTCCCC